AATAACACGTCTGGCCCCACGGGGCGCTGCAATTAACGCTGTGGCATGACAAGCGCAGGTAATTGAACATTCTCGTCCTTACAATTAATCTTTGCCTAAACTGACGCCACTTGATGCTGCGTTAACTGGGTGGGGAATATTAATTATTTTATTGTTGCATATACTCTTAGATAAAAACGATCAATGTTTTCAGAATCCAATTTATTTATTGAAAAAATAACAATTTTCCAGCAACAATTTTCTGAAAATGCTGAATGATTTTTAAATATAAATGCTGAGAATAATTATATGTTGCTTAAATTCTCCGTCTAACAATGGCCACAGTATATTTTCTTGAATCTAAACACGCGCGTCGTTAAACCAAAGCCTTAACATTAAAACAAAATTCAAGTCTTGTTTTTCACAATTGAAAAACGCATCAGAAATTCGACAAAAATTTTAATTGCACTGGAGATGAATTTTCAACTATAAGTTCATTTATCATTAAACTTACTGATAATTTTTTTATCGGCATATTTTTTTACTGCATCCATGACTGCCAAAAAACTGAAACGCCACCGTCACCAACGAACCTTTGCAAATAAAATCAAGATAACAGAGCCCATACCTCAGTGTCTCGGAATATGAACATTGAGTTTTAAATAGTTCCTTGTGAAGTTAACTAAATTGTAATGCGATCCAGAGTAACATCTGCCCCAGAAGTTGATTTTACTAATTGATCTAATTTGTAAGCATGCATTTAGAGCGTTGGCATTTGTAATGGGCTCATTTGAACAGAATGCTACAGCATTTAATCTCTTTTAATCTTTTTTTTTTCAATTTAAATACCATGTCAATTTTCAGAAAGAAAATATCACAAAAACTGCTGTGTAAGGCAAAAAATCTAGCCATAAAATTTTGAATAATTATTTCAAGAAATTCATGTACAGCGAAACTACCTGCTCATTTAATTCAATATAATAATTCTTCCACCAATTCCAGAAAATCTAATGTTTTTTTCAATCTATTGCCTCTTGCCTCCTGGAATCCGGATTCAAACAAATACATTAAATTAAAATATTCTGCTGCTACAGTTTTTATTCAGCAAGAATGTCAGTAATGTGATCCTTCCGTGACCTCGCCTAGGAAGTATTTCGCATCGCACTCGGAATGCTTGCGAAAAAGTCTGTACACATCGCGAGCTGCTCGGCTTCCGGAGTCAGATCGATGGCATCAATACATTTCTGATGCGCCTCTGTATTTCTGCATCAGCTTGAAGAATCAGGGGACGGGTTGGCGTGGAATTTTAGTTTCTGATAGAGGCAGAGTTTTAAAACGCCTCTGTATTTCTGCATCGGCTGGAACAATCAAGGGACGCGTTAACATGTTTAATGTTAGTTTCTGATAGAGGCAGGGTTTTAAAATCTCCTCTTCATTTCTGCATCAGCTTGAAGATTCACAGGACGGGTTGGCGTGTGGAATTTTATTTCCTGATAGAGGCAGAGTTTTTAAAACGCCTCTGTATTTCTGCGCCAGCTTGAAGATTCACGGGACGGGTTGGCGTGGAATTTTAGTATCTGATAGAGGCAGAGTTTTTAAATCTCCTCTGTATTTCTGCATCGGCTGGAAGAATCATAGGACGTGTTGGCGTGTGGAATTTTAGTTTTTGATACATACAGAGTTTTCTAAAGAGCCCCTGCATTTTTGGCCCAGCGCGTGAAATTTTGATTCCTGATAAATGAAGAGCTTCACAACTCTATAGTTTGTATTTATTTAACTGATCCTGCATAAGATGCTAATTATACTTTTAATTATACATACTGTGCTCTTAATTATAAATGTTAATAACGGATTGAAAGTCAAACTACAATCAATTCATGACTTTTAAATGTGAATCTTTATTCTTTATTCGCACAGGAGCATACAAAAAAAATCATAACAAGAAAATGGCAAAAATTTGGAGAAAAAAAATACAAAATGCTTCCATGCGAATGCCCATATAAGCTAAAAAGCTTCACAGGCGACATTAGCGATATTACAATCGAAAGACAATAACATATAATGACGATGGGATAAGACAAAAGAGAACTGAAAGTGACTAAATTGAAAACATCCTGATAAAAACTATCCTTTAGTAAAACTGATATAAGAATAACTAGCATGGCGACTAAAAATGATATTCAACAAAGGCAATAACAACCCTACCTAAAAAAATTAAATAAAACTAAGACGAAAAGTCAAAACAATGTTGTCTTACACCATATTATTTTTCAAAAATATTATTGAGAAAAGGCAATTACCAAAAATCTTACGAAACTAATCAGAGTCAAATTAATAACGAGTAAGAATAAAATCGCGGAATTTAGTCTTCCAACTGAATTTAGAACAATCAATTTTAAAATCATCATGTAATTCATTAAGATATTTCACACAATTAAAAACTGTACCGTTTCTTTCAATTTCCATGTAGTGGTTGTAGTGGTTCCAAATCATGATGTAGTGGTTGTATATAAGAATTTTTCGAATGGTACGTTAAAGAAAATTTGAACGTTGGGTACGTTCAGCCGTCGTACTTCAGATCGATGAAGCAATTTCTATCGACTTCAAAGTATCCAAAGCAGCGCAGTTTCTCAGATTGTTTGCAATCACAGAATATCAGCCTTGGCCAATGCTAGAAAATATTTGACGAAGCATATTGACGCATTCCGGGGTTAAACATTTTTCTGTCTCGACGTGTGCGCGAGAGGTCCAGTAAAATAAAGATAATAAATAGTAGAGAAGATGAAAAGGCAAAAAATATATTATCCACTTGAATAATTTTGCCAGTTCAGAAGAAAAAAAATACTCCTTGTTGAAATCATGGCAAGGAACCATGGCAATTTTTAATATTAATCTTTGTTTTAATAGTGGCAACGCATCCGAATTTGTACTTCAATCGATCGAAGGAAAATAAAACCGAGAGAATTTTTTGTTTGCACAGTCTTACTATTGCGGAAATATTGCCATCATATAAGCTTCATTCGTTTGCTATGTTTAGGATTATTCATGACTATTTAACGAAAAACTTATGGCGGGACATAAAATTCGAGACAAAGAAAATCAGTTTATTGAATGATGTTCGGCCATGTTTCTATTTTGTTCATTTGGATCTTGAGATGAAAAATATTAAGCTGCTTGAGGACGTGTAATCCCCGCCATATTCGTTCAACGAAGTGCCGATTTTGATTCTGCTGACGGATGACGGCAGAGTCACGTCATCAGGTCACTGGTATATGGAACATAGATCAGAAAAAGTTATCAATTAAAGTCATAGGAACCTGGTGAAAAATTTCTATCGCCAGTAGAACTATGATCGTGTTACGATTTATCAATTTTATCAATTAAAGCTATTATTGCAATCATTTAAATCACTTGTCATTTCGTTATCGATTATCAATTACTTTAATTTACCTAAATGAGGCACATCGTATTTATTATAAGAACAGGCCGTGAAGCGGCTTAGGATCTTCACAAAACACCTTTCCGGACACAGAGATACACGTATTCACTGCCGAATTTACGGTGTATGAATTGAGGATCGGCCTGGCTTAGGATGGGTCACACCGTCACATGGAGTGGGTGGAAGTCGACGGTCCTCAGGGCGGCTGGCGTAGTGAGCTTTAGGTCTCCATCAGTGCCCCACAAATGAGGCTACAACAAACCGGTAGGGTGGGATCCATGAAGTTTGGTTCTGTCAAATGCCCGAATGAATCCCGCGGGAACACTGTGGTATCCAGAGAAGCTCTAGAGGTGTGTCTTGCAAGTTTTGTCTTCAATTCCCCCGTAGGCGCTCCTTTTTCTTAATAGAATTATTAGAAGTTCGGAAAGAGAACACGCACATGTCCATGTCAGGAAGGTGTTTTGTTTATTGAATGCAAATTGAATTTTACTAAAGCTAAGTTAGATTATTAAGTGAAAATTATTTTACGGCAAGTTTTTTTTATGATCAAAAGTTTCCCTCAAATATAAGGATATTTGATACTATTTTCCGTTGTTGGGTCCATATCCAATAAATAAGAATGCCAAGCTTACACTGACCCCAGATATTTAATCAAAAACCCTATAAACAATGATTGAGCAATTGCGAGAAAGGATGAATGAAAGTAATAAATCAAAACAATACTTACGAAACATTTCACGTACAAGTACACGAAATATATACCCTGTTTATCTGCACTAAGTTTCGGATTATAACTTTGGAAAATATATAAATAAATAGTTTACATATCAATTAAATATACTCTGATATATATAAAGCCTGTTGGGAAAATATATAGACAAACTTGTATTAGGAACTTGTAACAATTTATCCCTAAGAAGATAAATACAACGCAAACATGATTAGAATCAACAATTCAATAATATACGTTATAATATTCATAACCACCTGTACCAACCACCACTAAATCAAAACATGATTATCACAACAATGAACAGATCTTATATTAACACGCACCTCTGCCGTGGAATTCCTATACATTGAAAAATTACAAAGCACGTCTGAGCGAGGCCGTATCAAAGCTGAATCAAAACCATGGAGATAAATTACAAGAATCCTATTGCAATCCCTTAAAAAGTGTTAAAATTTTCATTAATGCGGATTTTTTACGGACGGAGACTTTGTTTTCGTTTGTTTATTTCCAACCAGTTGATACAACGCAGGCTGTTGAGTCCAACCAGTAGATTTCATTAAGCTGAAACGTCAAAATTAAAATATAAAATAATTTGATTTTCAGAGAAGAATAAAAAATTTGCAAACGTTGAAATTTTACGATAAAAATGTTTAATTTTAAAACTTAATAACAACAAAAGTTTTCCTTGGCGACGTGCAGGATTCTTGTACGCTCGGAAAAAATAACTGATTTTTTTAGCGTGAGTATCGAAATCTTATTTCAGAATAAAACAACCTATATAAGATCATAATAATTTAACATATAAATTGCGTTCATTCAGTCATTTCTGACATATTTTCTACCATTTTACGAAGGTGATACCTGACCTGTTTGCTTTTAACGCAACTCCGGTAACCTTGTCGAGACTCACCTAGACATCTTTTGTAATCAAATATGAATAGATACAATGAATATTAATTAAACACTAGTGCCTAGAGAGATAACATATTAATTTAACTGTTCAACAAAAGTCGTACGATATTGCTCATATGGCCCGGATTCCTATTTACGAGTGTATGAAAAATACTATCGTGTTAAATACTTGCGTATGGATGACAACTTCTTTTCTGATCGCCTATTTAAACTTAACCCGCAAAATTTCCTGCAAAATCAATGATTGTTTTTAAATTTACATTACAAAATACTGTGAAGAAATGCATGATGATAATTTATTCTTTTTGTTGAACAATGCACAAAATGAAGAATGATTTGTCTAATCAATAACTCTCTGCGATGCAAGATTTGAATCCTCCAGAAATCGAAATTTATCCGTGCTAGGGAATATGGCTACTGATTTTCCAGACAAAACTTCAGGAATTGCTAGAGGCTGTTTTGAGATCAGGAGACACCAGGGAGCATTCGTGTCAATGCAAGTTTTTTTTTCGTCCCCAGCATGTCGTGGAAGTTAGGAAGTTCAATCGCAAATAGTTTTAGAACTAAAATGTCCGTTAGAATTCGCGATACGTTTTTCAATGGCGATGTTTGTCACTATTTTATTAATAAACTTCACGAATATATACTCTTAATCTATTTTTATTGCCCAGATGGAATAACTTTAATTAAGATTGATGAAATATTAAATAATTAACATCAAATGATATAAAAAAATTTTACGCAATATCTTATCAAATTTTCATTAAATCGATTTCTGAGATAAAATCAGCGAATATTTTACTCGCCTGATGCCATTAAAAAGTCCTGGAGAAATTGCATGTCTGGTAAGACAAAGCTCCACACGAATTACCGCAACTCTTCAGAACTTGTCACATCAGCGCGTGAAAAATTGAACACATTTTGGTGACGTAAAGCTGAACTTCAAATCATATCTCTCCAAGATGACATCTTCTGGAAAATCAAGATTACCTATCGTCAAGTCATATCTCATTACTGTCATTAGGTTTAGATAGCTGGTCTCCTGATACATTCATGTCTAGTCGTGTTTAGACTTTTTGAATCATTTAAAGTTCGCCGCAGAACTAAAGATGACCACAACATACATATACATAGTATATGTATGATATGTATGATATAGTATATGCATGATAGATGTAATTTATTCATCTATGTTGCAATTCAATGTAGGATATCATGGATATGTATAAGACGCGCATATTTTTAGTTATGATGTTCATTACCGAAAATTGTAAAACTCCATTAATATGCAGATTTTCAGGAAAAGAAATAAATATAAATAAGAAAATAAAAAATAATCCAAAAAATTGTTCCATGTCAACCTAAACTGCATTTCTTCAGCTTTAGGCCTTAGGTGCAATTCCAAATTAAAAACAGTTTCGTAATTTCAATATAAGCGAACAGATATATTGAACGCTCAACAACACAGGTTGAAAAACGTTTAAATTCAAAGAATTTTGCGATCTGTAATGAATTGGAATTTCCACGCAACTCACGATATCATTGAGTCAATTGATACAAAACCTATAAATTTGTACCCTTTTCGCAACCGAGCAAATTGAGCTTTCTGACAAACTTCGATCGACACAAACGATTATCTTGAAACAAAAACGCACATACTTTTTCTCAAAAAATCATAGATCAGCCCAAGACTTTTGTATACTATGAGAACATTTACCTGTCACGTGGTTCACACGTGTGCGTTCAACACATGCTGGCATATCATCGCATATGGCAATTAAAACGTACTGCAAATGAACTCCACTGTTGACGGAACTTCTATTGAAATAACAATTTCTACGACTTCACTATTATTTGCCTTTTCTCCTTTAAAATGTATTCCTTGAGGGAGTAACAGTTTCTATGAAGCCTTCCCGAACGATGGACGGTTCTCGAATTACCAGAGCATTGTTTCCTCCTTTGAAAATTTCGTCAACGGGCTGTAGGTAATACGATTAAAGATGCATCACATTAAGAGGCTTTGTTCTTTGTTAGCGCCATTGATAGTCTCGATGTAGCGGAAGTGTTAATATACTTTCAGAATTCTTGGATGTTTTTACCCGCGGGCCCACATGAGTTTGATAAAAATTTACAATATTGTCTGGGGTTCAAAATATATTTGGTTAAACAGTAGAATATGGAGACTTCATACAGGTTGACAGGATTCATTGGTAATGACCAAAAATATAACTCCAGTACTCACTGCAGTGAATGACAGAGAGCGCATTTTCTCGTCAGACGGACAGACGGACGGACAGACGGACATGGCGAGCACAATAGCGCCTTTTTTTCATAAATGAGAAAATTCGCTACAAATAACCAAATCATCGAGCTGCCGCGCTTCCAGAATTGGCTGTATGTGACATCTTGCTTTGGGGTTATTTCAAAACTACATGAAAACGGAATTCATTGGGTAACATGTTGGAGGTAACTTTAACTATACCGGCATCATGTAACAGTTTCGTTTTCTTTTAACTCTAATAAAGTAAGTTACAATGAAACACTCAATGCTTTAACAATAATTTTTATTTAGGTGCGATTGAATGACTGAAGGTTGTTTAAATGGTATTCATCATATTATTCTACAAGAAACGTACGCCGGAAGCCAATACTTCTGAGCTAAACTGTTCTCATGCTCAGCTAGCCAAATATAATTGTGTCCAATTATTGTATTTTCTTCACACTTTTTAATTTTTGGCACTTTGAATAAATGAGAGCAAAATATTGATGGGATAACTATAAAAAAATTACGAACATGGAGGGTTATGATTTCTCTTGAATGGATAGAACAGTCAGAAAGATAAATGAAAGTTTCAAATTAATGTTTTGTTTACTAAATTCTTAATTTTAGACACAAAAATAAGAGACTTTCAAATTTTCTTCGTAGATCAAATGCGTCACATTAATGTCTACTGCATGCTATTCTGCACCCACCCCATCCGGGTCCAATTATCCTGCAATCACCGCGTCATTGAGTCGTCTTATAATCCGGTGAAGGATTTTTGTGAAGGATTTACAATCCTATTTGAGAAGATTATGGGCTGATCCCTGGCAGAGCGCTCGACTTTGGACCAGGCTGGGAAGCTGCGGCGGATGTAAGAGAAAATTTTAAGCACTGCTCATTAGAGTCAATAATGAGACTCTGTTTGACACGTATTGTGAGAATCTGGTAATTGATTTTATTGTGAAACGTTTAGTATTTTCCATGATTTGTTTGCTTCGTTGAGATTAAAAGGCTGGAATTTTTAGTTTCGCTTGTCACTTGATACTGCACACGTCATGTATCAATCAAGAAAACTTAAAAGCAAAGAAAACTCCACAAAAATATATAGTATTTTCAAAGAAAACGTTTCGGAGTCCAGCCCAATTCTTGACTGTACTAATTACTAATTTATCTGTGTTCTAGAATTTTTGAACTGACGATGGAGCTGGACTCCAAAACGTTTTCTTTAAAGATACTATGAATTTTTTGGAGTTTTCTTTGCTTTTAAGTTTTTAGTGAATTTACGATTAAAGCAAGCGAGTGACATTATTATCAATCAAGAAAATTAATATAATTTATTAATGCACATTTAACCACTGAGTCATCTAGGCACTGAGACATCATTATCATGAGTCATCGCACAGCTGATTTATTTGACAACTTGACCACTGAAATATCTAGCCACTGAACCATCTGTCAAATAAGTTTTCTGACCACCGAACTATCTGTCCTCTGAGCCATCTGGACCACCTGTGCCGGCAGGTGGCGGTCGCCGTGCAATATCGCGCCTCGTA